ACCTGCTTCCTTGCCGTTAACACTTCAAGGACCTGCAGTGGACTTCCTCAGACTCCTGAGTTCTGCACTGAGGGTCTCTGAGTGCTTCTTCCATGGGACACCAGTTTTCTTTCATTGCTATGTAGTTAATTTCTCCCAACTGCTGCAAACTGGGATATTTATGGCTTCTGTTTGTACTAGCTCTCTAGTAACTGGGTCTCTCTGTTCCATGCCATAGGTCATTTTTCATTATTTACATTGAAGCAAAGGTGGGGGGTGTTATGTGTGATGGTATGCAGCTCCTATAAAGGGGATGCGAGAGGTAACAAAGTATCTCAGAACTGTAGGTCAGAAGTGGAATCTGAGAACAGTAGCAAGGACTGTGCAGACTTCTGGTCAACCTGGAAATAAAATGGCAGTGCTTTGACTTCTGGATGGGCTGGCTGCCTGGCTGTGAGCTGGATGTTGTTATTCAGCTACTGTCCATGTGTGCACCTGCTGCCGGGCATGGAGCTGTCGGGCACCGAGGCAGATGGTGCCTCGGGGCCTAACAGGGACTTAGCAGCCACACCAAACCCTGAGAGTCAGTCCTCCAGCAACTCAGGAGTCCCATACCCCAGGGGCTCTGGACTTACTCCTTCTGTGTAGCCTCGAAGTCTCCCCCTTCCAGGCAGCCGCACCCTCCTCTGCAGAGAGCATTAAGGAGCAGTGAGATGACGGCTTGAAGCGCCACAAGCAGCATGGGCACATCCAGCTCTCAGGCCCCAGAAGCCAGGGCAGGTTCGGGCTCCGTGGGCCAGGCGTATTCCCATGCACTTGCGTCTCCCTGGTAGGGTACTCGTGGTTTACATGTCAGGCTGCACGCCACACAGCTTACATGTCCAGCGAGGCTGGAGACTCAAAATCCCTGGGGGACGTGAAATATAAAGTGTTTTTTTTTTTTTAATTTTTTAAAGTCTAGCACAGGTAGGCATGGTGGCACACACCTGTGATCCCAACACTGGAGGCTGAGACAGAAGGACTGCTGCAAGTTTGAGGCCAGCCTAGGCTACAAAGAGCATTCAAGGCCAGCCTGAACTGCATAGTGAAACCCTGATTCAAAAAGACTAAAAATAAAAAAATAAAGTCTAACGCAGTGATTCACTCATTCATTCATGCAGTGCTCCGAGATCTGCCTAGGACCCAACATTACTTCAGTGTGAGCACAGTGTCGCTGAGCAGAACAGGCTTTGGCCTCCTACAGCTTGATTCCCCTCGGGGGTGGGGAGACACACAGGACAAGGGTAAGCAAGTTGGTGAGCCGGCAGAGAAGTGCCGCAGAGGAAAGTACAGCACAGTGGGGGCAGGGAAGCTTTTCTCCAGGGAGGTGGCTGGGGAAGGTGACATTCACAGAAACCTCAAGAATGTCACGGGGCAAGAGCTGGGGATATTTGGAGCAAAACCGTTCCAGGGGGCGGGAACAGGCTCCCAGGCCCCAACAGAAGACTCATTTCAGGAAAGTCGGGGGTGAGTGTGGCTGGAAGGAGTGAGTAGGGACAGCGTATGGGCGACAGCTAGGGAGCAGAGCCAGGACAGCAGGCCAAGTGCTTAAAAAAAGAAAAGGTTGACTCTAGGCATGGTGGTGCTGCCTGTACTCCCAGCACACTCTGGAAGCTGAGGCCAGAGGGTCACAGTTTCCAGCCCTAGGTCACCCTAGTGACTTGGTGAGCCCTTGTCTCAAAATTAAAAATAAAAAGCGGGTAGGGCGAGGGATGTAGGCCAGTGCAAAGGTCCAATCACTTAATACTGAAAAAAACAAGGGGCTGGGGATTTAGCCCAGCGGCAAAAGCACCTGCCTGGCAAGCACAAGGTCGTGAGTTCGGTTCCCGGTATCGGAGAAAAACCAAAAAAAAAAAAGAAAAAGAAAAAAACAAGAACAAAAAAACCCAAGTTGGGCTGGGGATATAGCTCAGTGGCAGAGCACCTGCGTGGCAAGCACAAGGTCCTGAGTACAATTCTGGTACAAAAAAAAAAAATTAAAAAAACCAAGTGCAAGGTCGTGAGTTCGATTCCCAGTACCAGAAAAAAAAAACAATAAATAAATAAATAAATAAATAAATAACCAAGTTAAGGTCAGATCAGAGGGCCTTGAACGCCAGGCCAACTGGCTTGAGCAGGAACTAGTAGCAAAGCCTCTGAGGGGCTCTGAGCAGAGGAGACGCCTTTTAGTGCCAGGATTCTGCCCAGGAGTGGCTAGGGCAGGCGAAGGTGGGCCCTGGGAGCAGCAGCAAAGAGGAGCGGCCCAGGAGGGTCTGGGGCCAGGGCGCCAGAAGCAGGACCAGGCCTTCTCCCGCCCTGCAGTCAGCAGAAAACCCCGGCTTGGCTCAGGAGGCGCAGAGCCAGAGCTGCTGAGAAAGCCGCGAGATGCCATTGTGCGTCCGCAATCAAGAGGCTTCAGAGGAAATCAAAAGCATCAGCTGGGGAAATGATGTG